TATACGTAACGCATACACACGTACGTATACGTAAATGCACACCGACTCGCACGCAGACATCCAGCACATGCACACAAACACACACACAGTCGCGCGTGCAGAGGTAAGTCGGCGAGGATGAAAGCGCAGCCACGGCCCTTTGTCTTTCTTTCTCGCTCTCTGCGGGTTACCGGCACATACACGTATAGCATACAAACACACATTTATCCAGGCACTCGCACACACACATAAACGCGTGGCTACTCCACTTTTCCATCTCTGTCTCTCTCCTCTTCTCTCCTTGTATATATGTACACACAACAGTGCATATATGTGTACGTGTGCAACGCGCGCACACAGACACACACAGATGCACATAATGCACACAACCCTTTTCTGCGTCGAGTCTTCCGAGAAGAGCTGCTTCCTTCGTCGCGTCGCGCCGCCGACCGTCCCGAGACGCGGCGCCCTAAGATCCTGCTGCCGTTGCTGCTCCTGCTGCAGACGGCGCATCAGAATGAATCGGACGCACGAGTTAGTTGGGCTCGAGCGACAACGATATTGATAACGAGACACAGAAGGAAAAAAAGATAATATACCCCTAAATGCGGCACGTATGCATTGACATTTTGTTGTTTAACTTGGGTTAGAATGGAAATTTTCATATCCGAGTTTTTCTTAAAGATAAAAGTATACGTCGCTCTCAAGGACGGCACGATTTTCAGACGCGCCGATTGCAAAAAGAGGCAATCTAGACTTCGTTTCTCTCTCTCTATCTCACGTCATTCTCATTCTCCTCGAAGAGTAACAAGAAAGAAGGTTAATTACGTCGCCCCGAAAAACCCGTAAGTATCGTACGTATATATACGAGAGAGAGAGAAAAAGAGAGAGACAATTGAAGCGATCATATATACCTACACACAAGCTCAGAGCCTGGATTTTTATAAGCGAGTCACGAGTCTCGCATGTGGGCCTGCTGCCGCTGCTACTGCACTCGTTGCGGCTTTAACGTGTATATACGTGCAACACAGCGCGGCACAGACGCGCTGCACTACTATATACACTGCAGCAGAAGCGTGTGGCAGGTATATAATAATAAGCCGCCGCCGCCGCGCAATATATAATTCCGGCGCTCGGTCGTCGTCGCGCTGCGCGCTCGCCCTTACTGCGCTTACATATTATGCTGTATACAGTACAATAATTATTACGACTTTTCTGCGCCTGTCACACGTGTGTGTGTATATGTGTATGTGTGGTGCACCGTCGCGGCTCATAAGGTACATTACAAGAGTATATAATACGCGATAGCCGCGCATTTGCGCCGCGGATAATCACGCGATCGAGCGATAAAATATTCTTCAAGCCCGGGCGACACACGACCTCGACTGAGATTCGCGTCTTTCGGCGCTCCGCCTTCGGGGGCCTATATATAATACACCATGTATTATACAATAAGTGTCGTGCTCACGAAAACTGACGATGTCCTCGATTACTTCCTTTATTTTCTCCCTCTTTCTTTTTGCTCGACGTTATCGATTTTACAATGAGAGAAGTCGGCGCGCATTTATATACCGTTGAGTATTTTGCAAGAATATAGAAATTACAAAAGTAGGTACGAATTAACGTCTTCTCGTTTTTAACGCAATCGATTAGCACTATAAATCCTGCGACTAGAACGAGGCATAAATCACGCCCGAGCCTATTTCACCTCCTCGCTGTATGACTTCCGTTCAACGGCGACTCGGTACACTTACACGTGTTTTTTTCCTGGCTGCTGCATTATCGCGTATGCACTTCTACCCACGCATCGTAAACACACACGAGTTTTCTGCGCTGGCGGTAGTAGTGTCCACACGTATAAAACGTAATGCGCGCGTCAGCGAGTGAAAAATCGACTTTATCGATAAAACTTTCCTACGGCCGCGTACGATAAATTTTCGCGGTATCGCATTATAATACAGAGACAAGCACAGGCGGCCGTACCGTGTCTGCTATAAAAGCTTATAAAACTCGTGCGTGTCGCCTTCCGTTCCTCTGTGAATATCGCGACAGGTAAGAGCATAACCGAGGAAAGGACTCTATTATATGAATGAAGAAATGAATTATCATAAGCATGCGAAAAAAAAGGAAGGAAAAATATCACGATAACACGAACGACGGTCGAGTCCTCGTATGTCTCTCTCTCTCTCTGCTCGCGTATATATACAGGCGACAAATCGAAGAAGTTATATATATACCGTGGCCTTTTTTCTTTCCATTTTTTTCCTTCCTTCTTTCCTTTTCTCTCCTGTTTTTTTTTACATCGTCGCGGAATCGTTCTCGCTACTACCGACACGCGGAAGAGACGATATACACGAACGGAGGCGGTGGCGGCGGATCGGGGGCTTCCAACGAAAGAGTCAATCGCTTCCACAAAGCGGAAGCGCGCGTGTAACGCGCCTACTACACAGCGCACACCTTCTTCTCGACGCATCGCGAAATCGACAAAAGGCTACTGCTGGGCTAATTCCTCTTACCGCGTGGCCTGGAGGGACACATACCGAGTATCAAAAACGTGTGTCACCCTATAAACACACACTAACACAAACACATTTATGTATCCTGCCAAAAGGACTCGACTCTAGTAATCCTTGCAGTTCTTTTACGACGAATGCAAAAAATTCACGCTCGCACACACATGCACATACAGACGATGCGATGGAGAGAAAGAGCGAGGATCGCGTGCCGCGTCACTCATCGCTGCGCAAATTAATCGTTTTCGCCGGAGCCATCGCACGGCCGCCCATACACGGTAATATAACGTCGAATTTGCGTGAGTTCGCGTTAACAAGCGTCGCGATTTTTTTCCCCTCCCTCGACTCCCTTTTTCTCCGCGTATCTCTTTCGTTACATAATTTATATAAAAAATTTCTCGTACTTCGTCGTCGTCGTCCTAGTCGTAGTCGCGCACGCGAGGCGTATTAGAAAAAAAAGGCGTTCTAAGTTCGTGACGTTAGAGCACACACAGAGCTCGATCCTTTTTATTCTCTCTCTCTCTTTTTTTTTTTGTTCTTTCCTTTTTACCTTTCTCTCTCGCTTGCCTTATGCTGCTGCACCGTCGTCTCCTCTATGTTAGATCGTTAGTTAGTGGGAGGTTTTTTGCGTTAGGTTCTTGCTACCTACCTGCTGCAGCGGGGCCGACAAAACCGCATTGGCGACAAGGTCGTTATTTCGTCAAGACTCGCGCGCGCACTTTTTTTCTCTTTCTCTCACTCGCTCGCTCGCTCGCTCGAGTTTTTCGGTACAAGGTATATATACGAGGAAAGAAGGGTATAATAATAAACCGCCTCCTCGGTGCGACGAAAAAGATTCTCGCGTACAATATAGCCCGGCCGATTTTGTGTGTGTGTGTGTTTTGTCTCCTCGTTTCTCTCTGTCTCTTTCCTCGGTATTATATACTTACCGTTTGTTTGTTTTGTGTAACTGGCTGCTGCTGTTTGCTGCACTGATTGAGTTGGCACGCCGAACAGGTGGTGTCGTTGCTGTGTAGACCTCTGACTACATAATTGCACATCAGCTCCGAAAAGCCGAAAAGAGCCGCGCAGGGACCGCTCACGACGTCGACTCTCTCGTTCTCGCTATGCAATTACTATCTCGCGGATAATAATTTTTCTTTTTTTTATAAATATCACCAGCAGAAAGAAAGAAACGCCGTGACGAAAATGTCTGTCGTTATAAATAAAAACAAACATCGCGAGAAAGGGAGGAGAGAGAGGATGAGTCACGATCAAGATGCTCTAGTGGTCTGTATCTCTCTCGGGGGTCCGGCAAAAATCGCGCGCGAGACTAACTGCTGCTGTGCGACAGACGCCCGACGCCGCCACCGCGTGATTGTGCGGACAGTTCGTCGCGATTAATGCCTCGGATAAGAGAAGAGGCAAAAGATTTCGGAGCTGCTGCTGCACCCACGCACGCAGGCATCTCCCAAGCAGCACAGTTCGTCCCATTATATCGCCCGATGTGCTGCTCCTCTCTCTCTCTCTCTCCAGCGGCTTCCGAAAATTATATATCTATAGGGCCTATTGTGTACTTGTATGTGTTGCGGTTGTGCGAATCGAGAAATGAGTATGCGCATATTGCGACGCGGTGGGAGATCCGACCGCGATACTACAGCAGCAGCAGCGGGGCCACAGGCCGCGATATCGTACATGTACACCCCCGTGATCTATGGCTTGTTTACGGAAACGAATGGAGATGCGAAGTGCTGCTGCCGTTGTTCGTCATATAGGATTTGTCGCCCTTTATATTGCGCGATATCGTGCGTTAATGGATTCTCGGCCCCGTTATAAAATCATAAACATTATAATATTATCCATCTTGAATAATATTATTACGTCACTCCGTGTAACGCGTCACTCGTGTAACACGCGTATACTACATTCGAAACTACATATCGATTATGAAACTCGGACTCGGGAGTGCTATGTGTGTGTGTACCCCATATATAGAGGTAAAATGAATTTCCGTGTTATACATACACGAGAGGGAAAAAAGTACATCGTCTCGCGTGATTAATTCCGTTCGGCTTTTTAATTTCGTCGGTTTTCGTCCTATTCCTAGGGCCATACACGTACCGTATACATAGTACGTATATTTTCGTTCGTTTATACGTATATAGGGAACATAGACACAAGATACGGACGACGGCGACGAAAAGAACAGTCGAGGGCATGGGAGAGGCCTTAACGGCCACTCGTCACGATACTTTGCCTACTATCACGAGAAGGCCTTTTTGGACGGTTACCATAGTACGGCGAGAAATTGTCTGCTATCTATAGTTATATGACGTGACGACTTCTGCTTTCACAGGCTTTTGGGTATAAGACTGTGCATTTATCTGGGACACTTGGCGTGTGCAGAAATCAGGACTTTCAGGTAAAAAGTCTCAACTTGCCAGAAGTTGACAGTAGAAACGAAATAGAAGAGTTTTTTTCAAGAAGACAAAATTTAAAATGTCATTCGATTGAACATGAGAGACTCACCCTCAAGATGTGTTTGGAATGCCAGCGCTGCGCATAGTAAAGCCAATGTTTTGCCACTCCCGGTTGGACTCTCTAACAGACAATGTTCTGATTTTGTGCAACCTTTGATGACCTAGGACAAAAAATAGTCCACATAAGTTCTAAATTCATTTAAATTAATATAAAACATAGAATATAAATTTCATTCTAAGGTAAGTAAGCAAACTCAAAATACTTACAGCATTCATCACAGCGATTTGACTTCTATAAGGTGTCACAGGAAACTTAACTGGAACTCCAGCAATCATTGGTGGCAAGCCCGGAGGTAATTTAATATCTTCGTATCTGCTCTTTTTATTACCCATAATATTGTAAAGTTGTTTAAGAACTTTTTCTTGTAATGTTGATTTTGGAGGTGATACATAATTCCCAGGACTTACTTTTGCAGGGGTTGTTTTAAAAGGTGTTTTCTCTTCTTTTATAGGTGTTCCTTTTGCTGGTGTTTTCTCTTCTTTTATAGGTGTTTTTACTTCTGTGTCAATTTTCTTTATAAGAGGAATTGATCTTTTATCGTCTTCATCTTCATCATCAGTTATTATTGCAATGTTGTCTGCTTTATCAATAACATGGTGAGTTGCTTTAGTTGTTTTTTGACGCTTTAATGGACTGTTAACATTCTCTAAACCAGAAGGTGGCTTTCTTTTTGTCGATGACCAAGAAAAGAGACTGGAACCTTGATTTACACTGGTACTTGCTTGAGCGCTTTGCCATCGCTTTTCAGCAGCTTTTGGATCACAAAACTCATCGTCACTCATTGTGAGATCAATAATGTTGTTGTCAGCCCTGAAATCATACAGTTTTATTTATAAACTTCAGATATCATTACATTTTGTATAAAAATATCAAGTTATCTATTTGTTAAGTAAATCAATGATGCTACAGTAAGTATTCTTTGTCGCCAGTATATAGAAGATCCTAAGAATCCAAGTATTATTATCTACATGCTACCGCATGATAAGATATAATAATGAATTTTATACAAATATTCAACATTGATTTATTTCATCAAAAGTTCAACTTTATAATAAAATACATGACAGTTCAAAACACCTAGTTATAAATATACTAGGATTACTTACATTTTAGAAACCACACCCACTAATGAGTTAATATTAGTAAAACTCAAGCAATTAAAAAGGAGGAAATTTTGTATAACCTACAAGTAAGTGCAAATTTTGCGATAGTTCGCGAAGCAATAATAAGCAGTGACGAGGATGCCGCAGAGAATGGGTATCATCACAGCGGCGATGCCATCGATCTGTTGAAATTACCAAATGAACGAATTGTCAGTCTCGAGCTATGCCGAAATAGTGTAAACACAAACACACACACACACACACACACACACACAGGAGGATTGTATCACGAAAACAAAAACAAAAAACTGCAGCGGCCCACCGGTCTGCTGACACTTCGTGCAGACTTCAACAAGTTGCAGGCGCGCAAAGCAGCAGTAGCACGCGGGGAGATTGGCGCGCGAATCGAGGCGCATGCGTCGCGCGCAGAGTTTCGTCTGCCAAGTGCCATAGGCAGTGGCGCGCGAAATTATCGACTGGTTTGATTTCTCGATCGATCGTGGCACCAGCGGCAGCAGCCCTATACGCTGTATAATGCTCGACTGGAATTGCGACATGTTTTAACGGACTCTCGATCGGAATTAAATTTTCTTATTTCGAGTTCGGTGCAATAATCGCAATTTATAAATATAACGTAAAAAAGTAAACAGAGAGTAAAAGCAAGTCGAGGTTGCAACAACTATATATACCGCTGATAAGATCGCGGCGCGCGTACAGCAGCAGCAACTCTCTCTTCTATATAAAACGAGAGAGAAGTCTATTTTCGAGTTACGTTTATTTCGTGTATATCTCTCTGGTGGGCTTCGTGCCCAAAATACGAATTAAAAACATATCGCAACAGATTTGCCGAGTATCTCGTGCGAGAGAGAGAGAGAGAGGGAGCACGTATCTACGACGCACATGCACACATACACACACATGGAAGGAAATACAGCAGAGATAACGAGAAATGTGCGAAGAATACGAATCATATAGTCGCGTTTTTCCTTCTTCTTTTTTTTCCTTTCTTTCCTCTTGTCCTTTCCTCTCGTTCTCTTAGAATTTGTCGAGTCTCTTCGCGCGACTATTCCGCTGCAGCCGACTCTCTCTCTCTCTCTTAAACTCTAGCTCGCTATACTTCTCTCGCTTATCGTCGAATCAATCTTTTGGAGTCCGCTCAAAAGGGCCTTTTGATTTTTCGCGATTTCCGAGAATATAATGCGGCGACGTTGTTACTCATTTTACGATATCGCGAAACGATTCAACGTTAAAAATGGGTGTTTTTTAATTCGAACGGAAAAGCGACGGAGAGAGTTTACTACCGCTACTTCTGTGTGCGCACAAAATCGATATATAGGAGTCCTCGTCGAACAAAGGCCAAGTGAGTGAGCGAGAGAGAGAGAGAGAGAGAAACTTGTCGTCTCGCACACAGCTCGATGCGAGCCATTTGATCGAAACTTGGGGAAAAGGTGGAGAATTCAAGTCGCTGGAAGTAAGTGGACTGACTATATTCTCTCTCTCTCTCTCTCGGCTCGGAAGGTCCGAAACTCCACTAGTACTACTGCTGCTGCTGCTGAAAATGCCGTATATAATAGAATAGAGAGAAAGAGAAGACAAGTTGGAATACTCGAAGCTGCTTTCCACCGACGCCCGCGTCTCTCACTCTGCGGAGCATCCTCTCGTGTATATATGTGCGAGGGAAGAAAAGTCAACTAAAAGGATCATGCTGGCTGTTGCCCAAGAAAATTACTCGGCCCTATACAGAAATCTTCGAAACGTAGTACATCGTATGTACGTGTGTATAGGGGTATTCCTTCGAACGAACAATTTACGCAAGCTCTCGCTCATTTTTGACACTTGCCGGGCTCTTCCTTTCTTATTCGGACAAAAATTACACATGCAAATTTCGGAATCGACCTTATTGCGCGTTTGAACGTGAGTCCATTATAATGTACTTTATAGGCGCAGGAAAAGTATAATAATTTAAGTGAGCCAGGCTTTTATTGCGCTCCGGCCGAGGCTTAAAACAATTAGGATTCCATTAAAATGTAAAACGTTTTCTGCCTTGGTCTACGTAGCGAGATGGGGTGCGCTGTCTCTTATTAAAGGGATGATCGTCGCTGCCGCGGGACCAGAGGCTGTTACTGCTCTTGCGGCGCCCGCACGACGTTCATAGCCGCTTACATTATTATATACGCGGCGAAAAAATAAATAATACGGTTGGTCGTCGATAGGAGTCAACGAATTATTTCAAAATAAATTTTTTCAATCATTGGATGTACGATTTGCTGGATGAATCGTATGGAATAAATTTTTACTGCTAGCAAAGTTTTCAAATCAGTTTGTGTCGTGGCAAGGATTTTTTACTATCATTCCAATAAAATGTAGGTAATTGAGAAGTACATATATTATTTATATTTTATTTAATGTCAAAATTAGGAAAAAAATTTTCTACATAATCATGAAGAAATTAATAACAGCTTCAAATACTTGATCGTTTTTCACGAATTCTATTATGTTTACATGAATGATTTTCTAAAAGTCGGTAGCGTACTTATGCGATGGAAGAAGTCTTCATTGCGACAAATTTCTTGTGAAAAAGCTTTCACTTCTAGGGCTTGTTACGATCGTGTACTGCTCTTATGTGAGTTTCAAGGTGAATTTTTCGCCCAAATGATTTGTAAAAAATCTCACACTGGAAGGGTTTGCTTTGATTATGTACTTTAATTATGTGACTTTTGAGGTTCTGTTTTTGTCCAAATGATTTGTAACAAATCTCACACTGGAAGGGTTTGCTTCGATTATGTACTCCATTTACGTGACACTGAAGGGTAATTTTTTGTCCAAATGATTTGTGACAAACCTCGCATTCGAAGGCTTTGACACGATCATGTACTTCATTTATGTGCTTATTGAGTACACCCTTGTGTCCAAATGATTTGTGACAAATCTTACATTCGAAGGGTTTGCTCCGATTATGTACTGTCTCTATGTGTTTATTTAGGTTACTTTTCTTTCCAAATGATTTGTGACAAATGTCACATTCGAAGGGTTTCCTCTGATCATGTACTGCATTGACATGACGTTTGAGGCTACCTTTTTGGGTAAATGATTTATTACAAGTGTCGCACTCGAACGGTTTACTCCGATCATGTACTGTCTTTATGTGAATTTTGAGAGTATCCTTACGTCCATATGACTTTTGACAAATCTCACATTCGAAAAGTTTAATATCATCATGCACTGCATTTATATGCTTTATAAAATGACCTTTATATCCAAATGATTTGTGACAACTGTCACATTCAAAGGGTTTCCTACGATTATGTACTGTATTTTCAAATATTTTTATCTCCTTGGTTATGCCATTTTGTAATCGAAACTTTTCTGGAAATGGATAGTTATTATCGTAATTGAATTCTTTTTTTATTGAAATCGTAAGCCTTTTTTCATTCAAGTACTTTGTCTGAATTTGATTTTCTATTTTTGAAATTAGTGGGTTACTTTGATATTCATTTTTGCAGATGATTGTCGACAAAGATTTCAGTTGAGGTTCAATATATTTGCACTCAAATTCTATGAATACTTTTTCATCTGAATTTTTCTGTAACGCCATAACCCCATTCATGTGATTAACCTAAAATTAAAATTGTGTAACAGTTTTCGTTAATGGAAAACTAGATCGCAAATCAAATCATTGAACTCACCGATGGTTCACAAAATGTTGATGTTTTAAACTTTTCGACTTCCGAATAGAAATTCTTATCGTCACCCGCATCTGGCCAATTATCGTCTGGTTCATCCTTGATCCTAAAGAATAACGAGGATTGATGAAGTAATCGATCAAAAAAGTCATGACAGTAACGCAAAAGAAGTTTTACCTAATCATTTCACTGCTACTCTCCATCTCTTGCTTGATTATATGTGTTCACTGTAAATTTTCACGATATGCACTTGAAAAATATTCGAGGTTAAACGCGTCTCGAGTAGCCAACACTGGACCTCGATTTCACCAATTTGTAAACACGCACTCAGGAATTTAGCTCCTCGTTATCGACTGTTCACACTAGTACTCGTATTTTAGCAAGGTGATTCCGCGTTTGCTTCCCCCTCTACGGTGATCCAGTATACCGCGATATAGTACGTAGTCATTCGCGCGTCATTCAAACAACAACTCACTGTGATTGGTCGTTGAATTAGGGTTAGTGGCGCGCTTTACTTTTTGAATTCCTAATAACGTGATCGAGTACAGGTATGGTTCTTGCGTATACAAAATGTGCCTCTCATCGAGTCGTCACATACACAAGTATATATGGGCGAGCGTAACACGCGGGGGGCAGGTACAATTGATATCACACGTAATCGCAGTCGAAGAGCCAGGGAATTCAATATGTGCGCGCTGGGAATGCGTATAACGTTATATAATATATATCCTATAGGACACGGTCTATACGTGTGGACCGCACGCGACATAGCTCAACTCGAGACCCAACGACACTTACGATATATTTGTACTGCCTGTATATATGTACGACTCTATGTATGTACGAGGGAAACATCGATCACGGCTACTGCGCCAGGAATTAGCCCCGAGTCCCTTTTTTCTTTCGGACCTTGACGACTCTCCTCGTAGGACTCTCGAAACACGCGCGTCGTTCCTTGCATACATGGGGTGTGGTATCGTACGGATACCGTTTGACCCCCGAGGTCTTTCGTATACATGCGGGTGTTCGCATAGTACACTATAAATCCAGTGTATCCGGGAAAATAGCTATACGTAAGGAAATTCAGTTTTGTGCCGATTAATTTTCCGCGCTTTTGTCGCACGGACACTCGCGTTATACGCGGCATATATTACAACGGCGGCGCCGCGACCTGGAGGTATATATAGGTATTATACAGGAATAAAAATATAAAGTAAAAAAGAAGAAAAAACGTTCGGCGTGCTCGCGCGCGCGTAACAATCCTTTATATATAGAATTAAAAGCAACAGCAGCAGCAGCAGCAACGACGAAAGAACGAGCCGAGGATTTTTTTCGAGCGTCGTGATCGCCACTCGCGCGCGTGAGCACGCCGAAGAGAGGCTTATATACGCGCGTGGGAATATCTCATTGCTTCAACGTTGTGTAGGTATATGTATTGGATGGACGATGTTTTGTGTTTGTGTGTATTACGGGCAGAGGCACGCCGAAAGGGCGCCTCTCGGTCGCGGGCGCGCGCCGACGCCGCCGCCGATCCTGCACTCTCTCTCGACGAGGGCTCGAGCCTGCAGCCGCTGACTGAAATCCTGCGCGCCGATTGAAAAGGCCCTCTCTCTCCCTCTCTCTCTCTCGATGTATATAATGCCCCTTAAAAAAAGAGAGAGAGAATCGGTGGTGGCGTCGGTGCTGATGCTTCTGGCCCAGTGTTTTATTTCCTGTAAATTAATTGCACTTTTGGTTGCCACACGGAGCGCGCACGGAGATAATCGTTAAAAGTTATGAAAATAAACGGTGCAGCGGATGATCGCGATCGGACAGAGCGACGAGACGAGGCGCCGCGCCGAAATTTGTTAATAGTGTATAGCATAGTGTACAAAAGCTGCTGCACATATACAAGGGGTGTGCTCTTTTTTATATATTAAATCAGTACGATATAATTGTAAACGCATTACCGTATCGTAATACAACTACGCTATTAATCAAAAGTCGGAATCAACGGCAGCTAATCCTTGATTTTTCGTGCCAGTGCATAGCTGCTGCCGTTGTTGTAGTTCGATCGTGTGCAGTCCTTTTTCTCCCGCGCGCCTACACGATCACGCTGAATTTCAATTAGAGAAACTGCTCGGCTCGGCCTAGCTATTTACGCTCAGCTGTCTCTCTCTCCTTGTTTATACCAAGTGCAAGCACAGGCCCCGCGCGTGTATTTAAGCGCAAACACACACTGCCAGGCTCGAAGCACGCGAGAAGAGAGTCGAGTGAAACGTCGAACCGAGTCCGGGCTCCGATAAATCTTGACCCTTCGATTGCACACGTATAGTAGTAAGTACGCTTAGACAAATTATTCGTCGTCCGATCGCAGCAGCAGCAGCAGCAGCAGAACGAGGCGAAACGTCGAAAAATGCAGCAAAATCAACAATGGACAACAACAACTACGACTAAACGACGATGACTAATGGAGCTCACGATCACCCAGGACTCGTTGACAAAAAAAGGAAAGTGATATGATTTACAATCAATCTTTTCTCGGCTAAAAGGATTAATTTTCTGTCCCTTCGCTTACACACGAAACCTTTTTTTTCCCCAAATCTGGCGATTTTTAACGCGTATATATATTATATATATAAAGAGGCAAGGCGCCTGGAAGTTATTAGGCTACAATTTCATTTCCGTTGCCTGTATGCGAGCTGAAATCGTCATCGACCGCACACCATGACGTTACACCCGCGTCGCGTCCTTTTTTTCCCGCGTACAGCCAATCCCTAATTCATATAATATATATGTGTGTGTTTGGAGATATGGTATTGCTCGTGTGTATGTGTTCACAAAAACGGGGGAGCTAGTAGTAGTACCAGTGGTAGTTGGTTAAATGACCGGTGCCAAAAAGTCATAAAATAAGTTATAATTTGGCGCGTATACAGCAGCAGCAAAGCATGAAAGCGAGTCTAGGCTCTGTGTATACGTGCGACACGAGACTCTAGTCGCACTCGGGGGCTCTCGCGCTCAATGTTCTGTGTGATCACTGTACTTTCGCTAGACTGAGCAACACCCCCCTGCGGCCTGTACCGAGCAGCAACGGCAGCAGGACGAATTTGTATCCGCGTTATACACTTTCCCGATGATTCCGACATCTTCCTTTTTTTTCTCTTCTTCGACGTCGCAGGGGTCCCCCCGTCGCTGCACCCGACTTGCCTAATGTCCGATTCTCTTTTTTTTTCATACAATATAAGCGCGACTCGATATTACGCTTGATTTCGACTTTTTTCTTATTTTCTCTCGTTCGTGTCAAATTTTTGTTTCCCGAATCGGGCGAAAATAATAATTGCGGCGATACGATCCTCTGTAACTCCTCCAGCGCCCCTGCTGCTGTGCTTTTTCCTTGTCCGAAGCTCGAAGAACGATGTCCTCGACTCGCAGAGAAGATCGTTTACACGAGAAAACATCGACTCGATCGTACTATCGAATTTCAGATTAATTGCCCGGGATCGTCCGCGGGGGAGAAGAAAAACAAACAGCCGTAGTTATGTTAGTAGCCGCAAACCTTTTGGATGCCGAGACAGAGAGAGAGAGAGAGAAAGAAAGATCGAGTCTAGCAGCGATAAGACGCAGCTCCTCGTCCTCCGTAGCCTTTTATATACGTACGGTGGACACTTACATCGATTTTGCGAAACGCCCGATATCTGTATATATTTGTACGTGAGAAAGGGGGGGACGACCGGCTCTTATCAGCTCCAAGTTTGATTATATGCTCCTATTTTCTTGCCGAGCGATTGCCCGGGTGAAACTTCCAATTTTCACTGCGGCGATTGATTGCGTCCGATAAGGCGCCCGGCTTGCGGCAAACAACCCCCGGCGCGATAGTAGAGTATAAAATATCGAAACGACCAGATGAGACACCGCGCGTATTCTTCCTTGGATCCTCTCGTACACACACGCATACATCATACACGCACGCGAGTTTTCCAAAAAAAAGAAAATCTTTTCCCAATCGCTTTCCAATACGAGTCGATCGTTTCTCCGAGACTTTTCGGTCCTCAACTTTTCTCGTTTTTGTTGAAGAGCGAACGAAAAAAAAAAACATTACGAAAGAGCTGGAAAGAAAGGGGAGGGGAAGGGGCGACTTTTGAACTTTTTCCTCGTTATATGCATATCTCGCCAACAACAACAAAAAAAAGAAAGAAAGAACGACTACAAAGAAACTCGACTTTCTTCTCTGGGCATTCAATCTCCATAAATCACACGCGACTTGCGCGCGGGGGCAGCAGCACAGCTATCGGAAAAAATAAAATAGCCAATTCTTTAACCGTCGACCGCAAAATGCCTGGAAAATACTACACTGATTATATTTGCGTGTGCAGCACACGTACTGCATACAGTAGTACGGTACCCCAAAGTTAAGCATGCCGACTATATAAGTACAGTTAGATACATCCCCTATACGTGTATGTATGTGTGTGTATGCGCGAGCGGTGAAAATCGCCAAAGTCCGTACATAAGTAGAGCTTGGCTCTGGCGCGCTCGCATATATGCGTCACGCTCGATTATACCGTGAAACGATCGAATTTCTGCGGACGAGGACAATTTTCGCGTCGATCCTGTCCAAATATCCATATATACTGGAGACGAGTAGTAGCCCCTTACTCGTCTTTGATTAATATCCTCGTACGTCTCTGTGTGTGTGTATGTGGCGACTCTCGCACGCACGCATAAAACTTGCGGCCCTATACAGTAGAGAGATAATCAAAAGGGACACTTTTCATAAGGTCGAGGTAACATCGTGTCTTGTGTGGTTTCAGATATATTTACGCGATACATAGAGAGAGAAATTCTTGCGCGTTAGACACGCCGATAGCGCGGATAAAATATATATTTTCACGCTCGGCGGTGGTTCGATCGCCGCTGCCCGATTGCCATTGCCGGTATGTGTAACATTAACGCGCGATCGACGTGCGGAATTCGACATTTGGGAATGTCAATATTGTTAGTACCTCCCCCCAACACATGCACTCGTGCTCGAGAGCAGTTAGGCCAATATTAGAACTATCCAAGCGTCGCGTCGTTGACTTATTTTCAAGACCCGTAATGATAAAAAAAAAATTTATTTACGCGTCAGAGACTCGGGCAACTTCTTCGAAAACCGTAATGATATCGCACGCTCGGTTAATTAGTCCGCCGGCTGCGAACGTTGCACGTCAATGTGCTTATTTGCATATATTTTTATACTCTATTCCGATGAACAACTTCCTTCCTTCGATCAATAAATGGGACCGTATTCGTATCTCTTGACCGATTTTCAATTCGGGCCTTAAATTTCGGGCTTTATAATGGGCTACAAGCCCGAGGTA